TCATTGTTAATGGCACCTCATACAGAACAAAGCAGACACCATGAAAAACAATGCAAAGTACAGTTAATACACATTCAAAGCTAGAAGATCAAAAAGGCACATGAACTACTTTGCTCCTTTTTTTCTTGTAGGGCAACCCATTGAAATGAATGGGCTGCCCCTGTGTTTGTGGTCGCAACCATGCTCAAAAACGCACCTACTGTGTGTGCAGTGGGATTTTGCCTGTATTCACAAACATTATAATGTGGACGCAGCCTCATGGAGGACAGGCGTTCCAGCCCCTCATGTATTCTAGGTCATTGTCCCACCATGTGTTGAGTGAATATGCAAGGACGAGGATGACAGCTTGAACCAATGAAAAAACAAGTTTCCATAGAGCTCCCATATATGTCTTCTGACAGGTCCCCTTCAATGTTCTACTTGTCTTTAACTTGATTTTTTCCTCCCGCATTTCTCGGAATATCTCTAGCCAAGTGGAGAAGCCGAATCATCCCAGCTGACATATTTAAAGACGGGAGAACTTCCTCACGCTTGGTTTGATGTTTAGCCTGGAGCTCAGAGGAAAGGAATCTTATTCTTTAAAGAATCGTACAACAAAGTACATATTTTTCTGCATTTACGATGAAAAGGAAGTTAAATCTGGCTTCTTCCTGAGCCGTAACATACATCCTGTACAAGAATATAAAACGGAGAGTAAAGTGCAACTTCTGAGCTTGCAGGACAGCAAAATTCTTCATTTTATACATTCTATCCATTGGACATCGTATTCTATCACAGAGGAAATGTATAGATTTTGTCTTAGGCCCTGTTTACGTATTGCATAGTGGGACTGAGTGTGCCCGCTCAAGATTTTTGTTGTGTCATTTATACTCGATTTTGCGTCACGCTTAGGGCAGCCCATTCACTTCCTATGCGCATTTGTCACCTAAAAGAAGCTCCTGCATCAAATGCTTAAAAAAAATAAAAATAAGTGCTATGATAAGTCCAACAAAGCAATGAGTGCCCCTGTGTGTCCATAAAATATTCACAAGGTGCTCTTCCACACCCCCCCACCAGAGTATTCACTCACCAGCAGGAATGGACCACTTATTGTAAATAAGTAGGTCAAAATGCGCTCAAATATTAGGCTAACAGCCTCCTCCTTCATTCATTCAAAGCGCCTCCAAGAACATCCTAAGGACAACTGCACTCACGTAGTGATTTGTAAAGAAACCAAACCGGGGAAATTCCATCATGGCTCAATAAGCTAGATTATTTAAAACTCAGGATAACAAAAAAAATAGTGCGCTCCATACATCGGCGCCCCCCACCCCCTTCCCCGGAACCCGGCGTAACCTGTCAATACTTAGAGTAGGAAGCTCTGCTCTGGAGCCAGCATTCGCTCCAAATGGCAGAAGGGACCTGAAGTCCCACCTCTACGCGTTTCATCACATCTAGGACGTCAGCAGGAAGCCCTTGTGACTCCTACAGTCACAAGAGAACATTAAGGAAACTCCATAATGCTCACTGTTTGTTTATTAAAATATATCTTAAAAAATCCACGTCACCAAGATGCACTTTCAGATGGACCTCAGTGTTAAACAGGAGGCCAGGTACACCTTTAGAATATAGGATCCCCCAGTCTTACTCTTGTATTGGGTTCCCCTTCTAATGCCACTTGGGAACTCATACAGTCACAAGAGAACAGAAAATAAACTCCATAGAGCTAACCAGGGTGGATAAAAATCAATGATTTTTTTTAAAAAATAAAAAAAATCAATTTTTTTTATTTAAATCGGATTTTTTTTATTTAAATTGGATTTTTTTGAATAAAATGCTTTTTGAGGAAAATATATTACCATCCAAAGGTTATTCCATCATGAAATAAAGATTAGTTTTTTAATTTATGTAGAATAAGGCTGTATATGTTTACTTTTTTTGGTAAATAAATTCCATGAATCCATTCACAATGTCATGCTCTTCCAGAGGTTTTTGTAAGATTATTGGGCAGTTTCTCTGCCTACAAGATATTATCACAGATGCTCGGTTTACTTTTGCAGTTCTCAAAACTGAATCTGACTCAGCGGAGATCACATGCCTCTTCTTCACAGCAAAAATGTTATAACATGAACAGAGTTAAGAAAAAGACCTTCATCCTAACTTCTACAAACCTATGAATACAGAATCAACCCCTTCAGTGCGAAGTTTCAAGAAGTTCAGTGAATAGAATAGAAACAATATTTTTCTGATTGTTTGGAGTGGAATAGATCTGCACAAGAAGAAAGTGAAACTAAGTGTGAGGGGGAGGGGCTGACAGTCTAAGTTTCTTCAAAATATATATATTTTGTTTAGCCAAATTAGTTACCAAACATGGATGTTTAAGCAAATCACATCTGCTGGAATGTTATTGTTTCAGATGAATAAATCTATTTAAATTGTTATTATTAAGGTAATGATTATTTTTCTCCTTCCTAAGTACAACAGAAAAGTTGTCCAAATATGAATGATTAACCTATTAAACTGGGGATAAAAAAACTAATATGAAAAGTTATTTATTCTAAAAATCTTCATCTACTTGCATATTAAAGTTATACCAGCAAGAATTAGTCTTTATGTAGAAAACTAGGATTTAAATCAAGCCTTACTGACTAGTGATTTAAATCGTGAATTAAATCGTGATTTAAATCAGTTTGATTTAAATCAAATCCACCCTGGAGCTAACTGTTTGTTAAAATACTACATATCTTAAGATAATCCGCTCACATTTGTATGCACATGCTTTTCCACAAGTTGCCATGCTGAAGCACTTGCCCAGTGTGATGACATCAATAGACCATGCCCATCTGACTCGTTGTATCCATCCAGACTTTCTCAAATGCCACATTAAAGTTCTGAGAACAAGACTTTTTTGACCTTTCAGAAAGTCCAGAGTACTGCAGCACATCAGGTGTGCATGGTCTATTGACATCATCACGTTGGGTGGGCCCACAGCAACACAGAGGAGTGCTTCAGCCTAGTAACTTCTACTGCAGACTCAAAATTACATTATGAAAATGCACCTGCACACTGATACAAATGTGATTGGAGTTTTTAAGTTATACAGTATTTTAATAAACAAACAGTGAGCACTATGGAGTTTATTTTATGTTCTCTTCTGACTGTATGGTGGGTTCCCAAGCGGCATTAGATGGAGAACCCAATACAAGACTAAGACTGGTGGAACCTGTTTTCTAAAGCTGGACCTAATCTCCCATGCACATCTGAGAGGGCATTTGGGTGATGTAGTGCTGATTCCTGGGGTTCTTATGGGATAACACTGCTGAGTTCCTGTGTGATTCACACTTCATTTACTGAGACTGTTTTTTTCATACATTGTATGGACACTGGAAAAGATTTATGTTGTGCCCATGGGATATTCATGTTTATATAAATGCATATTTTTGAGATGGAGCATTTTGTCTAGCACCAGCAGTGGTGTTGAGGAGTACATCCTATTTATTTGGTTTTTAGGCACTTAATAGAGCACCACACTGTTTTATTATTTATGATTAGTTATGTGTTTTGTGATTGCACTTTAGGGACCGATAAAGGTATTTATTTAACCTCCTCGGCGGTATGATGCTTTCCGATTTTTTCATACATTGTATGGACACTGGAAAAGATTTATGTTGTGCCCATGGGATACCATTCATTTTTATAATGCAAATATTTTTGAGTTTGGAGCATTTTGTCTTGCACCAGCAGTGGTGTTGAGGAGTAATTTATTTTAGGTTTTTAGGCACTTAATAAGCACCACTGTTTTATTATTTATGATTAGTTATGTGTTTTGTGATTGCACTTTAGGGACCGATAAAGGTACAAACCTCCTCGGCGTATGATGCTTTCCGATTTTTTGTGCTGAAACCATTTTTTTTGCATGGAAATATGTAGTTTTTTATTGTAGGTCTGTAATTTTTAGGAATAACTCACTGAAATCTGTCCGAACAAGAGTCTAGTAAATATCCCGGATATGATAAAACTTGAAACCCGAAATCATAAATTATAATTTAATAAATAATCATAAAAAAATAATAATATAATAATAATAAATTTAATTCAATAATATAATCAAACCAAAAACATTGAAATTTGAAATACAGAGGCAATACAGAGGCAAATTCGCACATCGCTGAGCAAAGTCGCAAAATCGTTTTCAGTGTCTGATGATGAATTTCCCCCACGAATAATTATCACTCAATTCTGCAAGTGGTTCTGATTTACTATCGCTGTTCTAAAACCGCTTTTGACGTAAAGGGACGCTTTTTGGACGCCATGGACTTTTCTAAGTTTTCAGGCAGAAAGAACATTCAAAATGCAGGCAGGGCGCCGGACAAAGCAGTAGGGACAAAATATATGTGAAATGTGTTGAAACAGCAATGACAGCAAAAATGACATTTTTTAAAAATTTCAAATTTCCCTCCGGTTCCGGCGCCCGTACGTCCCGACGTCACAGGGACCGGAACATGGAAGCCGGATTGCGGCATCGGCCGGAGGAGATGGCCGGGGATGCTGCAGGGGACACATCGCGGGAGCGAAGGACAAGGTAAGTGCTGCAGGGACCCCCTGAGCAACGCCGCATGGTAAGCCCGAGTGTAGCTTGGGGTTACCGCTCTTGGTATTGAAATTTTACCCCGAGCTACACTCGGGAATACCACCAGGGAGGTTAAACTTAGTCATAGGAGAAGCGCGGAGATAATTATTGATTTATTTATGGCCAGTGTTCGTTGTTTCCGAAACAGATGTCCCCATTGGGAGATCTCCCCTCTCTTTCTGTTCCATAACATTTTCTAATTCTCATCACTTATGGCCAAGTGACGATTAACATCAGCAGAGAGAATATCCCAAGTGGAGACAACATAAAAAATATGTATTTATATTTATTTTATATTTTATTCAGAACTAAGTTCCTCTTTAATGTTGTTACCATGGCTCAGTGGATAACCAGCACAGGCACAAGTTCATATTTTTGGTCCTACAGATTGTCATGTACAGGGGCGGACTGACAACTCATGGGGCCCCTGGGCAATAGGGGATCATGGGGCCCCTGTGTCCTTGCCCAAACTCAAAAAAGCCTATGAAAAAGGTATCAGGGGCATCTCAAGGAGTGGGCAGTGCCGGAGTTTCCAAATGGTCAGCCCGCCCCTGATCATGTAGCATATCAAGTCAAATCTGTCCAATCTGAAAGATCCTGCAATCAAATTGCTTAACAAAAGGTGTTGTCTCAAAGAGTGTGCAAGCTCTCAATCCATTCTCAATGCAACATGATGATTCAACTAATGCACAGAAAATAAAAGCACTGAGAGGGAAGACGAGAGTGACCTTGAATCCGTCCTAATTCTATGAAAATCTGACTCTGTAGGAGGCACTTAGTACCCGCATCGAACACATCTGAAAAGAAGGGAATGAATTGAAAGCATTTTTGAGGTCTAGGGAAATGAATGGACTCCATCGCTGACATCTGAAAAGGACAGATGTGTTCCGTACATCTTTCTTTGTGGTTATTCATTGTAGAACTCTGCAATGTGCTTATAAATGCCATTAATACAAAATGTCAAGGCTGGGAGGACTTGATTAGTCACTATTCACAGAAATTTCAGCAGAGAGATTTTTCAGTTCTACAATAATGCAACATTATGCCTTATTAGGCTGCAGCAGAAAAAATATTATTAACTGTAAATGGAAATACAAACTAATTATTAAATGCCCATGTACAGTATGTCAGGGCTTCCCCACCTCTTATTTGCTACTTTAGATCAGCCTTCCTCATTCTTTTTGTCAAAGAAGAGACACTGAAATACTTTTCAGGTATTGGGGAGCATCAGCTAAAACCAAATCATCGGGGGTTTATGAGAAAAATGCTTGTTATTTTGGTGGCCATTGGGAAGAATGCTCCCCTTTACTGTAGTGGCAGGGAATGCAACCCTTATAGGCTGCTAAAAAAGATCATTAGTATCATGCAGCTGGCTCTGACAAATGGTGTTGCCCTAAAAACTATGAGTCAATGGAAAAATGCCCCTTATATTATCTGAATTGCAGGGTGTTTCTGTATGCATCATCCTGTTGTTTTTTTTTAATTTATAATGGCTGTATGTGGCTCTGCCCACATAGCTCAGCCATCCATTTACAGGGGTCTGTGGTTATCCATTTACCATGGCCAAGGGACTAACAAATGATGCTTGAGGCAGGGAGGTGACGCCACCACACTTATAGTCCATATTTTACTTCCTCCAACCCCAAAACAAAAGGTCTATACCTCCATGCAGACCTGGGGGTGGGGTTTAGCAATGCAGAAGCCTGGGCATTGCAACTACGATGCACTGATCACAGTTACCATTCACTGGAAACTTCATTGCAAAAACGTAGTAAATGCACATTTTTTATTTTAATGAGGATGTATTTATTCAATTTTGGTAAAAGCTGGACTATGCCTTCAATTTCTCCTTAACCATTTACTCCAATGCATTTCACCAAATGGTAAAATGTATCTAAAATCTCTGATTTTCACCAAAAGTTCAGGGAAAATAAAATTCTCAGTTCTGCTAAGTCTTATTCTTGACTCTGTTCCTGTCCACCTAGGAGCTTTGGCTGTCCCCCCCCCCCCCCCCACCCTCGTGTGTTCTGAATCCTCCTGTTATATTCTCCATAATGTAAAATGAATAAAATGGTAGTCTGTGGGATTGGTGGGAACCCCTTTTAATGGGTACAGCAGGTACTCTACTGATCAGATCTATTCATTGAGTTCCCGAGTCTGCATTGAGACCCGGGAACTCAATGAATAGATCTGATCTGTAGAGTACCTGATAGATAAAATAGACTTCTCTTTAACCCTCTTACACTGAAATGTCAGCGTAGGGTGAGTTGAACATTTAAAATGGTTCTTAGGCTGAAGGTTTTGTACCTTCATGCATTCTATGGATGAAGGTAAAAACCTTCTGTGTGCAGCTTCCCCCCAGCACCCCTTAATACTAACCAGATCTCGATTCCAAGATGTGCACAAGAGCAGTGGCTCTCCTTTACCTCATTGGTGATTTTTAGTCTGATGGTAGGAGGACCCATAGGGGAAGGGACAGCAGTGCTGCTGAAAGATTACTTCAGAAAGGTGGGTTTGGAAAAAACAGGTGCCTTGCTTGCAATCATTGGATGATCAACAGCTTGGGTTGGTTGTTTGTTTTTCTCATATCCTGATAGCTTGGGGGGTTAGAAGGTCTTTGGGGGTCTGCTGAGACTTGAAAACTTGTTACAAAATGGGAGCCCATCTGGAGGTGTGGTTTTTTTTTCCTTTTGGCAGGTTGTTGCTGGTTCTAACAAAGGCTTGGTCACTTGGTGGAAGGCACTATATCTATTCAATTCAGAACTGTCTGCCAGGATGTGGGGTGTGCTTGGGGACTTTTGTTAGTGTCTGCTGAAGTCAATTTAAATCAGTGGTCTCCAAACTGAGGAAGTGACCCTCTGCCTGCCTATATCTGGAACTTAGGGAACTATTCCTTCCACTGAAACTAACAACTCTATCACTCCCACTGACACCAATGACGGGATACTGTTCATCCCACTGATGCCGACAATTGGGGCGCTTTTCCTCCCACTAATACCATTGATGAGGCATTGTTTACTCCCATTGACGCCAAGGCATTTTTTTTGCTCACACTGACAGGCTAGCCCTCCAAAGTCTGAAAGATAGTAACATTGGCCCTTTCATTAGAAAGTTTGTGGACCCCTGATTTAAACTCATATTGACCACTCAGAGTCATTATTTGGGGGGTTGAATGGCAGGAACATAATTTGCTCATCAATTAAGGTGAAAACAGTATTTTTATGAAAAAATTTACAGCAACCAGCGGCCAGACTCATCCACCTTACCAACCGCTCTACTTCTGCCACCCCCCTCTGTCATTCCCTCCACTGGCTCCCGATTGCCCAACACATTAAATTCAAACTGCTAACACTGACATACAAAGCCATTCATAACGCTGCCCCAAACTACCTCACTGACCTGATACCCAAATACCACCCTACCCGTAATCTTCGCTCCTCACAAGACCTCCTACTTTCTAGCTCCTGGTCTCCACCTCCCATGCCCGACTGCAGGACTTCTCCAGGACTTCCCCCATCCTCTGGAACTCACTACCCCAATCCATCAGACTGTCACCTACCCTCCTCACCGTTAGGCGCACCCTGAAAACCCATCTCTTCAGGGAAGCCTACTCCGCCCTCACCTAACAACTGATCTCCTCCACTCCTCCCACCACTCCATCCCCCACAGCCACTTCCTCCTGTACCACTATCCCCTCCCTCCTAGATTGTAAGCTTGAAAGAGCAGGGCCCTCGAACCCCTCTTGTATTGTATTGTTACTGTATTGTCTCATGTACTGTCCCCCACTATAATGTACAGCGCTGAGCAAACCTTTTAGCGCTATATAAATACTGTATAATAATAATAATAATAATTTATGATACACAGAGCTTTAGAAAACTAAATATCATTCAGTTAGGAATTAGTTCTAATTTCAAGTCCCGGACATGTCACCAGTTCTTGGCTGAACATATTTCCAGGAAGGTAGCCAGAAATGAAAATTATACAGGAACGTGTATCTTGCTAAGTGAAAACTGTAAATTCATCTCTTTTACCCAATTTCCTTGTTTAGAAGGTCTTGTCCAGGGGGAAAATTCTGCACGCCATTTGTCAACGACTCTAAAATAGTGTTTCTCTTAAACTAAGTAATTAAAGATGATAAACACAAAGACACCGTTTTTCAAATTATGCAGAAGAACCATGAAGATACCTGCATCAGCATCTTGGACAAGGCAAGAGTGGTTGATCATGAAGAAGTAAAAAATAATCTTTCAATTCTTTGTGGTATGTTTTTGGGTACAGCACCATGACAACATCAACATTTTGGACAAGCATGGTAGACACTATGAAGACTAAATAGTATTTGTGCAATTTATTTTTCTACTGCAGGGAAGACAGAATTTATTATTCATTTTTACTTTGGGGTACAGCACTACTGAAACTCCGTAGGCACTGTCCATGGACCAGACAGGCAAGTTGGTGAACACAATGAAGAAAATAAATATTATACAGTCAGGTCCATAAATATTGGGACATGGACACAATTCTAACATTTTTGGCTCTATACACCACCAAAATGGATTTGAAATGAAACAAACAAGATGTGCTTTATCTGCAGACTGTCAGCTTTAATTTGAGGGTATTTACATCCACGGTGTAGGAATTACAACAGTTTGCATATGTGCCTCCCACTTGTTAAGGGACCAAAAGTAATGGGACAGAATAATAATCATAAATCAAACTTTCACTTTTTAATACTTGGTTGCAAATCCTTTGCAGTCAATTACAGCCTGAAGTCTGGAACGCATAGACATCACCAGACGCTGGGTTTCATCCCTGGTGATGCTCTGCCAGGCCTCTACTGCAACTGTCTTCAGTTCCTGCTTGTTCTTGGGGCATTTTCCCTTCAGTTTTGTCTTCAGCAAGTGAAATGCATGTTCAATCGGATTCAGGTCAATCGGATTCAGGTCAGGTGACTGACTTGGCCATTGCATAACATTCCACTTCTTTCCCTTTCTTTGATTGCTTTTGCAGTCTGCTTTGGGTCATTGTCCATCTGCACTGTGAAGCGGCGTCCAATGAGTGAAGCGGCGTCCAATGAGTGTGAAGCATTTGGCTGAATATGAGCAGATAATATTCCCGAAACACTTCAGAATTCATCCGGCTGCTTTTGTCAGCAGTCACATCATCAATAAATACAAGAGAACCAGTTCCATTGGCAGCCATACATGCCCACGCCATGACACTACCACCACCATGCTTCACTGATGAGGTGGTATGCTTAGGATCATGAGTAGTTCCTTTCCTCCTCCATACTCTTCTCTTCCCATCACTCTGGTACAAGTTGATCTCGGTCTCATCTGTCCATAGGATGTTGTTCCAGAACTGTGAAGGCTTTTTTACATGTCGTTTGGCAAACTCTAATCTGGCCTTCCTGTTTTTGAGGCTCACCAATGGTTTACATCTTGTGGTGAACCCTCTGTATTCACTCTGGTGAAGTCTTCTCTTGATTGTTGACTTTGACACACATACACCTACCTCTGGAGAGTGTTCTTGATCTGGCCAACTGTTGTGAAGGGTGTTTTCTTCACCAGGGAAAGAATTCTTCGGTCATCCACCACAGTTGTTTTCCGTGGTCTTCCGGGTCTTTTGGTGTTGCTGAGCTCACCGATGCGTTCCTTCTTTTTAAGAACGTTCCTAACAGTTGTTTTGGCCACGCTTAATGTTTTTGCTATCTCTCTGATGGGTTTGTTTTGTTTTTTCAGCCTAATGATGGCTTGCTTCACTGATAGTGACAGTTCTTTGGATCTCATCTTGAGAGTTGACAGCAACAGATTCCAAATGCAAATAGCACACTTGAAATAAACTCTGGACCTTTTATCTGCTCATTGTAATTGGAATAATGAGGGAATAACACACACCTGGCCATGGAACAGCTAAGAAGCCAATTGTCCCATTACTTTTGGTCCCTTAACAAGTGGGAGGCACATATGCAAACTGTTGTAATTCCTACACCGTTCACCTGATTTGGATGTAAATACCCTCATATTAAAGCTGATAGTCTGCAGTTAAAGCATATCTTGTTTGTTTCATTTCAAATCCATTGTGGTGGTGTATAGAGCCAAAACTGTTAGAATTGTGTCGATGTCCCAACATTTATGGACCTGTATTTCTTCCATTAATATTTTTTTAAAAGTTTATAATTTGGCGTGGCATTGCTTGCCAGAGGTAGCAGTCATTCAGTTCGGGGGTAAAATGACAGTGCAGTATCAGAATCTAGAAGTACACAACATGTGACTGTTCTATGATTGATGGATCTATCAAATGGAAAAGGGTTATGAGGACCTGTGGAGTTGAGGACAGGCTACCCCAGCCTATAATTTATATTGTGGAACTTTCGTAGATGGAAATTATGCTTCGCTATGTCATTCTCTCTTCCAAACGAATCAAGCACACATGTTTATAAGACAATTAGAGTGACATTGAGAATTTATGTGACTACTAATGTGTTAAATACTTTGATGGCAGACTGTGATATACGAGGAAACTACTTTCTAGCAAATGTTGTGATCTTCATACAATACACAGCTTAAGTAAAGATATTTAACGTTCCCTATAAGAACCTGTTATGTGATTAAAGGGAATATCTTGGATGGTGTCTAAGGAACATCTGTATTGGAGAAAATATATGTTGTCACCTGGAGGGCCCAAGATCACTAGCAAGCCACTTGTAAAAGTAACAGTCTTTATTAGGCTTGCAAACAGTTCAGAAAATAAAATAGCTTTCTTCAGCAAACAAACACCAACAAGTGTGTAACCCTGGTACAATGGAAAGCAAAGGAATGGCTCACTGCCACTTTACCAGTCCCACACAGGGTATTGGGGTTTCCCGTCTGCTTCAGGGGTCTCCAAAGAGGAAGTTTCCACAGTTTATCAACTGTGACTCAAGCTTGGTCCACCCTGCTCTATGGTGTGTACTTTTTTTGTCTCACTCATATCACAGCCAACTGTTTACCTGTCCTTCCTTCTCTGACTTTAAGGCTCTCTATCACAGCCAACTGTTTCCTCTTCCTTCTCTGGACTCTAAGGCATCTGGATTAACGCCCTCAGGATCAAAGCCCGCTGTCATCAGAGCTTAGAGAGTCATCCCACTCAAAACTCTTTGAACCTCTGAAATTCCGAACCTCTGAAATTCCGAACCTCTGAAATTCCGGGTCCCTAATAAGGACTTAGCAATCCAGAGAGCACTGAAACTCAGTCCCTTTCTCTCTAGCAGTAATACCCAAAAACCCCTTACCCTGCATGGATGAGAATCTCTGAGTACTCAACATACTTTCAAATTGTCCTCCTTAAAAAGACCACGGCCCCAATAGTGAGGAAATATACCTGCAATTCAGAATCCAACCCTGGGGTCCTATACAATGAGGACTTATCCTTTATGACATTAACCGTATTATTGCTTTCAACCGGGTTTAGGCTTGCCCAGGGGCAGACTGACAACTGATGGGGCCCCCCAGGCAATAGGGGATCATGGGCTGTATCCATAAAAGTCCACCTTAACCACGCACCAAGTCAATAACTGCTTATAAGAAGGCAAGGACACATAAACAGAGCCTCACAATATGAAAAAAAAGGAGGAGAGAGAAAACAATGTTTTTCTAGGGAACAACATTGCCAGCCAGCTTGCTAACAACCGAATTAAAACCTGTCTAACAGATAATAGGCACACAAAAACCGTACAGCCCAGAGCCACCCAACCCACCCTGATCATCTGTGTCCACACTCAAACCACACAAAAAAGCCTATGACAGGTACCAGGGGCATCTCATGGGGCCCCCTGCGGACCCTGGGCCCTCAGGCAGTGCCCGAGCGCCCAAATGGTCAGTCCACCCCTGAGCTTGCCATAAGGTTTTAGTGAAATAAAACAAAACTTTGTATTGAAAAAATCATAGTCTTGAGGTGGTACATTTTATGTTATCTGTTAATATTAATACCTAGGTACAGATGGAAAATGGTGAATATTGTTTCATTAAAAATCATTAAAAAGTAAGTAAGGTAGGAGGAAATATGGACATTAGAGGAAAGGAAGAGGGAGGGAAGAAAGGGAGGATGAAAAAAACTATGGAAGGAAGGGAGGAAGAAAGGAAGTTAGAGGGATGGAAGGAAGGAGAAAATAAATGAAGGTAGAAAGGAATTGTGTAGGGTAGAAGGGAGGAAGGATTTGTTCACATTAGACCTAAGTTCAGCTGAATTTTGTAATAGAACAGGGAAAAGTTAGAGCCTCTAAGGAAGAAAGAAAGGAACAAAGGAAGAAGGAAGATAGAATGATGCTCGAGAGGAATATCAAGGATTAACCATTTTATAGGAAATGATGGTCAAAGACTACAGACATCCTAGAAGAAATGATGGTCATAGGCATTCTAGAGGAAATGATGGTCAAAGATTGCAGACATTCTAGAGGAAATGATGGCCAGAGACTGTAGACATTCTAGAGGAAATGATGGTCAGAGACTGTAGACATTCTAGTGAAACTGAGGGTCAGAGACCGTAGATATCCTAGAGGAAATGATAGTTGGAGACTGTAGACATTCTATAGGAAATGATGGTCAGAGACTGTAGACATTCTAGAGGAAATGATGGTCAGAGACCGTAGATATGCTAGAGGAAATGATGGCCAGAGACTGTAGACATTCTAGAGGAGATTATGGTCAGAGACTGTAGACATTCTAGTGAAACTGAGGGTCAGAGACCGTAGATATCCTAGAGGAAATGATGGTTGGAGACTGTAGACATTCTAGAGGAAATGATGGTTAAAGACTGCAGACATTCTAGAGGAAATTATGGTCACAAACTGTAAACATCTTAGAGAAAATGATGGTCAGAGACTGTAGATATCGTAGAGGAAATGATGATCAGAGACTGTAGAAATTCTAGAGGAAATGATGATCAAAGACTGCAGACATTCTAGAGGAAATGGTAGTCACAGACTGTAGACATCCTAGAGGAAATTATGATCAGAGACTGTAGACATTCTAGAGGAAATGATGATTAAAGACTGCAGACATTGTAGAGGAAATGGTAGTCACAGACTGTAGCTATCCTAGAGGAAATGATGGTCAGAGACTGTAGATATCCTAGAGGAAATTATGGTCAGAGACTGTAGACATTCTAGAGTAAATTATGGTCATAGACTGTAGACATTCTAGAAAAAATGATGCTCAGAGACCGTAGATATCCTAGAGGAGATCATGGTCAGAGACTGTAGACAGCTTAGAGGAAATGATGGTCAGAGACTGCAGACATTGTAGAAGAAATGATGGTCAGAGACTGTAGACATTCTAGAGGAAATGATGGTCAGAGACTGCAGATATTCTAGAGGAAATGATGGTCAGAGGCTGTGGATATTCTAGAGAAAATGATGGTCAAACACTGCAGATTTTCTAGAGGGAGTGATGGTCAGAGACTGCAGACACTGTAAAGGAAGTGATGGTCGGAGACTGTGGAAATTCTAGTGGAAATGATGGTCAGAGGCTGTGGATATTCTAGAGAAAATGATGATCAAAGACTGCAGACATTCTAGAGGAAGTGATGGTCAGAGACTATACATGCTCCGGCCTGGTCGAAGACTGGAGACATGCTCCAGAAGGCAGTGAGAGATTAGAGTGATGGTATATGAGGATAGTGGAGATTACTACTATTGCCCGGTGAGATGGGGAAACAGCTCTCATTGTGAATTAAATGTTTTGAAGTGTTTTTCTGACATTCTGTGATTTAGCCACAAGATATCACTGTTTTTCTAACAGCCTCAGACTGCATAGATATTTCTATATTCAGGAAGGGGGTGGGGTTTTACACATGGGAGCTCAGTGAACAGGAAGAGAGACTGCAGCCATGTTTTGATGATGGTGAAGGAAAAGAGCCCTTGTGAGCAGAGAATCCGTTGGCATCCAGGTGTAAGAACTGCAGCTAGTGAAGCTGATGGTGTTCAAGACGCTGATCCTGTTCAGAGAAAGGAAGATCGCTGCAGGAAGGCTGATGAGATTGCATGCTTGTTGGAGAGACATTTGTTCTGTTCTGAGTCACCAGCGGATGAAAGGCAGACCTGGGTCGGTAAGATCGTGCACACACCTCATTTCAGTGTTGGCGCCTCCAGAGACTGAGACAGGCCTATAGTTAGTTAGTTAGGGTCTCTGCTTGTGTCAGGCCACAAGTGTTGTTACTGATCATTGGAAGGACTCCACAACTTAAAGTGACATTTCACATTGGAGAGCTGATAAAATCCCACAAATTCAAGCCAGACTGGCGTTTTGCTCAGAAGGAATACTCAGGCACGTGCTACAGGACCAGTTATGGGAGGGGGAATACTGTAGATTTGTGTAATATTGTAAGCTGTTGTGCTGCACCGCAGCCTAGCCCATACCGTACACCCATACACTGATTCCTGCTCTGTAGGTAATAACAGGTAAGGTGTGACAGCTTAGTTGTGCCCCCCAGTAGGTAAATTACTACACCTTCTACCTTCATCCATCAGGAGAGGCCGTGCTGTGCAGCACAAGGGTCTCAGCCTTTGGGCTGGGTGTATGTAAATGTATTGTATGTTCCCAGCATTTGTGGTTGTGTTTTTTTCCACATCTAAGTAAAATTCTGTGTGTGGCAAAAGCTGGTGTTGGGGGTTGCTTTCCTCGCTCGTGACTTCACTGTATCCTGGGGAGTCCACCCCAGTACATGGCTTACAGCCCCCTTAATAAATCAATCGTCCAACTACAAACTGCCGGGGCCAAAGGGTGGAAGCACATGTACCCAGAGCCACCTATCGGGCACCCTGACTTGTGATGTCACAGACAGCTAAAAAAAAATAGATATTCAATCAACACTACAATGTGTTCTATTTGCTGCTTTTGTTTGTTTGTATTCCCTTCCAGAGAAGGAAGTGAAATTAAATCTCATTTTGGGAATTCCTCTATGTAACGCCTATTGGGTGGTTCATAATCGGCGATGCATAGGTGTTTTCAGAATGGTACACTTTGGACCAGCGTTGGCCAGCTCAAGAAATGTTTTTGATTAACCACTTGCCGTCCGCCTGCTGTTTATAAACGGCAGGGCGGTGCACTCCAGGGGCGGGTTGCCGTTCATAAACGGCACCCGCATTTCTAGCTATGCGCGCTCCCTGGGAGCGCGCGCAGCACCGTGATCCGGTGCCCGCTGTGTCCTCCTGACACAGTGAAACACTGATGGTCGGATGGGATCTCTGTATGAGGTCCTGATCATGTGATCACTGATTGGCCAAGCAGTGATCACATGCAAAGTAGTAAGCAAGATGTCACTTGTGACATCATTGCTTACTACGTGTGAAATCTGTGAATGATCACAGAGGTCACATGGTACAGGGCTATTCACAACAGCCTTTGTACCATGTGACAATCTGTGACCAATCACAGCTCACTCAGTATTTCTCAATGGCTGCAAGAATGCAGACAGAGAGAAAGAGAAATGATTGCTTTTATATCCTATATGGGTGTAAAAGCAATCACTGTAAAAAAAAAAAAAAAATCTTCATCACCCCCCACAAGTATAGTACAGTGTCACCATGGTGACACTGTACTGCTAGGGTGACAGTATGTAAAAAAAAACAAAAAAAACCCCCCCATAAAATAATAATATAAAAAAAAATAAAATAAAAATGTAATAAAAAAGTGTTTAAAATTTTAATTTTTGGTTATAAACTAATTTGGCTAAAAATATAACGGAAAACATTTTGGCCAAGATTTATGATGAAAGATTATTTATTTGCAAAATTTTATAAGAAAAACACTTTTTTTTCAACTTTTTGGACATTTTCATTTACATAGCAAAAAAAATAAAAAGCCCAGCGGTGAATAAATACCACCAAAATAAAGCTTTATCTGTCTCAAAAAAATGGTTAAAAAAAGTTCATATGGGGACAGTGTTGCATGACCGCCCAATTGTCATTCAAAGTGTGATAGCGCTGAAAGCTGAAAATTGCCCTGGTCAGGAAGGGGGTAAAAGTGTCCGGACTGGAAGTGGTTTATAAAGACAAAATTAAGTGGGCCATCTGCCTACAGTCAGCATCATTCTACACGCATGCCTTTTTTGTCAGCCAGAAGCACTATGATGCTACCTACCTGGTGGAACCGCAAAATTGTACAGAGGAGTGTAATGACGTGATACATCATCCAACCGACACACTCAATACAATGCCAAAACATTCACCTGACATCAGCAGCTGATTAGCAATATGTAGAGAACATTCTGTAGAGAGAATGAGAGCAACACAATGCGGAGCGTCCTTGTGAGTCACTTGTGGTCCCATTCTTCCTAGGATGAAATAATACACAAACAACTCCTCTTCTTTCTCCTAATTTCATTGTTCCCCTAGTGTTATTGGTGTGTGTATGTAAGTCACTGAACCTCTCACTGTAATGTAGATGTTGACCAAATCACTAAAATCTCATATAACCTCAATGGACAACAAGAATATTGTTTCCTGAACAATTTTGGGTGTATTGTATAGATTTTTCGCTGCTAATCATGAAAATAGCCTGTAATTTAACCTATCATATACTGTTTTATAGAAACTTTCTGTTTTTGCAATTTCTTCTACAGAATATATATTTTAAGTTTACTTTTTGCTTCCATTTATTTATTTGTTTCAGGTCCTTATATAGTGATGTCAATTTATGCATCACTTTACATATACAGTTAGGTCCATATATATATTTGGACACAGGCACAATTTTAGATTTTTTTAGGTATTTACCAAAACATAATCAAGCTATAGTTATATAATGGATATGGGCTGAAAGTGCGCACTCTCAGGTTTGATTTGAGGGTATTGTACATCCACATTGGAGGAAGGGTTAGGAATTACAGCTCTTAAGAGTAGCCCCCCCCCCCCCTTTTTCACGTGAGCAAAAGTAATTGGACAATTGAATACAATCATAAATAAAATGTTCATTTGTAATATTTT